CTATCTACCTACCTACCTAGCTATCTAGCTATCTATCTATCTGTCTATCCATCCATCTATCTATCTATGTGTCTATGTGTGTGTAGCGCAACAAATATATACATGTGCATGCATGCATGTATGCATGTATGTATGTATATACGTACATACGTACCATAAACATTCACATACACATATACACATATATCATATTAATATACATATTATACATATACATATACATACACATAGACATAGACATATACATAGACGTATATATATATATATACATTATGTGTCTGTGTGTCTGTGTGTAATACAGTACATATGGAATCATATGGATATAGGCTAGGTACTATAGGTGACATGCCTCCGTATCTGGGACCCCAAACTTTTCTTCCATGGCTTTCATGGCCACCTCCTGTTGCTTTCGCTTGGCTTCCATCAAGCTTGCATGCCTTGGTGACGTCCCGGCCGGGCGTGAGGCGTAAAAAGCCTTAAGCTAACGAGATCTGGTCATATCCGGTCGTCTATGGAAAATTCTATGAGATGTATGATGTATTTATGTAAGTTTAGGTACATTCTCTACATCTATTGGAAGGACATCCTGTTTTTCCAAAGCAGTAAGAAGGAGCGTGTTGGCTTGGTAGTTGTGGTTTGGAGACGTGAGGAACTAACCACCGGAAATTCAAAGACGCAAATTTGGCAAATGTTATGAGAGTCACAAGGTCAAAAACACTTACAAGAGTTACCAGACTTACTATCTTTCACTGGCCCACTCTTGGAAATGTCCAGATTGAGTTCACTCCACCTTGGCTCCTGTTTTTTTGGGGAGCAAATCCTTCCAGGCAAGTGGCTCTGCTAGGCGCTTCTTCTCAGTGCTCTTCATGTCTTCCAGGTCGCTGCCCATATCCTTCAACAAACAAATACCAAGCCAGGCGGCCATCAGCTTAAAACAGTTGGGATCTAGCAGTTCTCTCCGCCCCCTCCATCTGTCAGAAAAAGAAACGTCTGAGTCCGAAAGTGCAACCTGCCGTAAAGTTCAGACACAGCCAGCAGGAAAGAGTTGTAAATGCAACAAGATCCCAAGCCTAAGCCACTCCAGTGCCGCAATGGCTTTGGCCCAACGTGGGAAGATACTAAAAGACATGGGAAAAGGGCTTCTCAAAGAAGGTGCCAAATCTGGTACCGGCCCCTTCAGTCCTCCTTCATCTGCTTCAGCATTCCAAGCACTTGATCACTGGGCACACCTCAGATGCCAATCTCTTCCCATTTCGCGGGGCGGTCATGGCACTGGTGGATGATCACTGGGTGTGCTGCCGGACGATAGAAAGGATGCCAAAAGGTCGCGATTTCGGGTGGTCATGTCCTTGATGGCAGGGCTCCACAGAATCCAAAATCCCAGGAAAATGACACATGGCGGGGGGCACAGAGAAAGAGAGAGGGGGAGAGAGAAAGCAAATGATGCAAAAGGGTGAAAGAAAGAAAGAAAGAAACCAACAAACAAACAATCAAAGGCCTCACAATTCTAGTCACAGTCCACTAAGGCTCAAAGGCAATGTCACTCAGTGAAACCATGACACATGTTGAGAGAGTCTTTTGTTGAAGTCCTGCATTGCGACCCTTGGCTTGTAGTAATTCATCTTGCCATCCCTAACTCATATTCAGGGATAAAGGCCGTTTTCCATTAAAAAAAAAACAACTAAGGGAGAAACCGCAGAGAGGGACAACCTGCCGCCGCTCGTGCTGTATTTGACTGCCGGATCACACAACAGAATTGGGTCGTGCGAAAACATGGGGTGTGCCTGGTGGCTTCCACACATCAAGCAGCCAGTTTGAACAAAATATATTCAAGCCACCAACCAGGACAGCTCGTTGATGGATATGATCCCCCAGCAGTTTTGCAGCTGTTCGCTGGTGCATTGGGTGCTTCGCCTCCGAAGCACCACAGCCCCTGTGGTTTGAAGAAAGGATGCCGCACGATTCTGCTGGAGCGCCTGAATTGCCTCAGTGTGAAACACGCTGCAGTTCCAGAACCATTCGCGTTTCCCTTTCTTGGGGAAGTTTTGGTGGAAAATGAAGAGACTCAGCCAATGGGGGTGGGTCAATGTTGGCTAAAACTGCCAAATGCATGCTCAAAAAGGCGTCAAAAGGTCTCTTTTTTCAGAGATGCTGTGGTGCACTGTTGTTGATACCTAAGAGAAGCGTAATATGCGGAAACTTTACAAGCCGCAGGTGCAACTGGCGCAACACCAGTTGCAATGCAAAAAAAATGCAAACTAAACTCTCCTCAAGAACCCTTACCGTTGATGAGGGTATCGGATGATGCAAGCGTATGGCTTGAATTTTCGGCGTCTGTCTGTTTGCGCCATTGATTTTGGCTGACGGTTCACCTTCAGATGCAGTGGGTCCAGCTGCGGCCAAAGCCAAAACCCAGGTGTGGCTGGTAGAGCACAGGAACACCAACTCCTTCGAACATGCTTCGAAATTGGGGATCTTCAGCCATCATACTCTTAGACTTCCTGAGGTCAATGAAGTCAACGAAGTCAACTGGCTTTTGCTGACCATGCAGAACCTCGGGCGCGGGTTCATGCACGGAGTTGGAACGGCCTGCGGTGCAGCCCATCTTTACAGCGAGTTAAGAATCCCTGGGGAAACCGCGACGGATTGAGCCAAGTCTGAGGCCCAGCGCAGTTTCGAACTCAGCCCATCTGAGAACTTAATGTCCCACTGGAAAATGCTCTTGGCCAAATGCCCCCCTGAGCAAAGCCACTGCTGTGAGCGAATCCACCGATTCCTGCTGACTCTGGGAGTCCTACCAAAGCATGATCCACACATCAAGGGATGGATTGGATGCCAACGGGGTTGATCCTAACTAAGCAACCTGCAGGAGAAGTGTCGCTTTACAAACCATTTCCCACTGAATGCAGTCGCTGGGTCCTTCAGAAATGCATCCGCCTCCTGGACACCAGGAGCCAGTGGTTGTTCGGAACATGTCTAGCTAGTTCTTATGTGAAAATAGTCCATTGATGGATGATTATACGTGTGAACATTATGGATTATCATGCTGACCATAGCTATGTTAACATCTTACGTATCATGTTATATTTATGGATCATTTAATCTAATTCACCAATTCAGCATGATGATGTTCCATAGCTATGTGAAATTACCGAAGGGTAAACAATTGAAGTATCTTGCATGTTTTTGGATATTTTGTGGCCATCAAGAGACCAAAGTCCCCATGGGAGGCAGGGAATGGGGGCGTCCTTCTTGCGAATCTCTGCTGCACTGCTGATCGCACTCTTTGCTTCGTCCCGGTCCTGGGCACCCCGCTGATCTGAGAGCATCACCACATTTTTTGGGACGGTAAACGACATGATTTAAATCCATCAACTCCTGCTGGAGCTGTTGGGGTCCCAAATTTGTGATTGAAGTTTCAATGGATCACAGGAAACCATGCTTTACATCCTTTTGCATCCTTGAAGTGTATTGCTTTCCTGCTCCTCGTACCTTTGATTCTTGGACATGTGCTTCCAAAATGCCTACACCTCTGGCCTGTCCAGTCATTCCTCAGTTCTGCTGGCGTCCTTCTTGTGTTGCCCAATCTCGCTCTCCAAAGAAATTTGTAGGGCAGAAACCTCCACTGCTTCCAGGGGTGAAAAACAGTCACACGTGGGAGTGGGGGTTGCTCATTACCCCTGACTCCGGAAATTCAAGTAATGTGGGCAACACAATAATAAACCTACCATGGTTTAAACCACCCATTCATGGTGATTTTAGGGATGGTTTCTTATTGAGCCTGCCCGTTAGGGACAAGCCAGCCCATCCAATGTGGAATCATCATAAATACCCAAACCTTCACTGACAAATGCACTGGACACTCTATTAGCATGTCTAAATGGGCAAAGAAATTCAATATTGACATGTTTTAAAAATGAACAAATTAAAATGTCCTAATTCTTTTGATGTTTCTTGGTTGCCTAATGATGTTCATCATACTATTTCTGGCTCAGAGATTAAGAAAACACACAGCACCGGGACAGATGATTCTTCTTCATATTGTTTTCTTTGAGCCTCATTGTATCTATCTTTATTTCTATCATAGTCATAGTCATAGTGGTCTCTTCTACATGTTGTGCATTTCTTACAGCATACTTTGCTGTCTTCAAATTTATCAACATGTTCTATTTGACTGCACGACTGCTACATAAATCACAAAAAGAACTTTGCCATGGTCTCTAAAAGGTATCGCTGACAATAATCCTTCATGCAATTATCTATTTTCACAGACCCTTGCTTCATTCCGGAAAGAAATAGGAGAATATACCTTGTCAAAACATGTTTTCAGAACGTGACTAGGTGAAGGGGGCAACTCATGAGAATAGTTTCACAAAAATTGTGTTGGCTGTTTGCTTTAAATGTAGCTCTCAAAGTAATGAAGTAAAGAAAATCGATTCCTGTTGAAATGCCTACTGCCTATACGCCAAACATCGATAAAAATGGCGCATGTTAACGGTGAGAATGAGTCGTACGAACAATGACGGCGTTCTTAACAAACTCGTTATTTTGCTCTGAAACTGGTCATCATATTGTTTCTTCTATGTAGCATGTTGCAAGTGATCACCTATCTTGGAATTGAAGGTAGCTATATATTTTGCATTGTTACTGGGACCAGTTATGTGGCAACCTCAATGGATCAGGCGTTCCCAGTTATGCCAATTTCGGATTTTGGCATTATACATGCAAACCACATTCACTTCGGGTTATATAACGGGTTTATATAATCCCTGTGATGGGTTTTAAATCCGTATTACTGGATTGATGACCATCATCCAATAGTGGACACCACATGGTTTTTTCTCCTACAAACTGTAACATATCGGATGATGGGTTGCAGTAATACCTATAATTAAAGCCTATAATCCAGAAATGGAATTTAATGGGTATGTAATCCAACTTTTGAGGGGTTCAACGCATCATTTTGCCTCCTCACCAGTGACATGTCCTGATTTCGCCTCTTGCGCTTGGGAACGCAGTTGCGGCAAGGACTTCGCAGCCTGCGGCCGATTAGCGGTTGAAAACCACCTGGGATGAGTCAAAGCCCTCTACCCCTCTGGATCTTAAAAAAGCTGGGATGGATGGACGTTCATTCGCCTAGAAATTGTATTTCTAGGTATTGATCCACACCTATTTGGGAATCATGGCCGTTTTGGTGATCCAGTTTTTTGCCAAGAGCGGTAAGCGCTGCTGTTGGGAACTACTGGAGAACGTGTTTTCTTTAAAGTTCGACGTTGAAAACAATTTCCAAAATTATACCCCCAAAAAATAACTGCAGGGATAAACATGAAATGATTGCAAAAAGGTCCAAAGTGGACATTGTGCAAGATGGACTTATTATGCATATGGCGACTAACCATCTGGCCTATCTGTTATCCACAGGCGCAACATGTCAGAAGCGCCTCTGCCAACTGAAGATTCAAAGACTCGCTGGTGTCCTTGCAGTAACACATGTACCTCAAAACCAGCTGACCCGAGCTGTCCAGAACCATGGGCTAGTCATGGTGAACGTGAGATACTCTGCCACTGCCAATCTTTGGTGGGATAATTATTAGATTCCTTCATTTTTGCTGAAAATCCCCCATTCAGTTCATTTTTTTTGAAAACCATCACACACCATGCTCTTCAAACGAGAAGGCACTTGTCGTAGACTTTCTGCTTCTCATCCCCTTCGCTACGAACCTGGCAAGATGATGCTGGTGCAGCCGGGTGCAGCCTCAGTAGCCTCAGTTTGATGTTTTGGTATCACCTTAAGTCGCCAAGTAAGTCATGAGTCTGTCATGTCAATGGGTCAAGGGCAATATCTGAATCGCGGACAGTAACATTCCTTTAAGTCTAGCTCCACCGGGAACCTATCGTCACAAACTCATAGGACTAGCAGTTCTGCAACTGGTTCCAAATCACAGAAGCATTCCCTGTTTATGCTCAAGCGCCAAAATCAAAAATAAAAAACGCATCCTTGGTGATAGAACTACGTCATTTACGTATTGATATTGCCAGACCCCACATGCGCTTGTCCAGAGTTTGAACTGGGCTAAACCTCCCAAAACAAACACTTTGAGGGTCAATGTTTTTTTGCGGCACTACCTTGTATACTGTTGCCAAACCCCACATTTCCCGGCCTTTTTTTCCAATGATTCCAGCATTGCTGTGACTTTCGCAATGGGATTTCGACGTGCGAGGGAAACCTCCCAGGGTTTTCCTTGGATTTTTCCCTTCATCCAATTTTGGGAAAATGTGGTTTTCCCTCACCCATGATGGCTGTGGGGGACCACCAAGATAAACACCAAGACATGGTCAATGCTGAAACCATCATCAACCTCTATAAGCATGATTTGGATCTAAAATACTAACGTTACATTGGATTACTGTAAGTGTGCAAGTGCATTGTTTCAGAATTCAAGAGGGACAATCAAGATTTTTTCGAATCAAGTGTCCAAAATGGTTCAACTGATTCTTTTAACAAAAATACCAACATGGTTGTATACAGTATACACCCACATGCCGCAGCACCATGTGCCTCCTGCTGCACTTTCACAGCATCAATATTCAATGAACTTGCACCACGGATTCACATGGCGATGGTGGTGGCAACGCATCCTTACATGTAATCTGAATGTTCATCAAACCTTTCCTTTCACACCAAATACCACTGTCCTAACCGGAATGCAGGACCAAACATCGCGGAAACACAAAAAATCCAAATCAATAATGTTTGCACGCCCGTCAAAACCTCGAGTAATTTTGGACATGAATGCCTGTAGCTGAAACGCAAAACATGTTGCATCCAACAAATGATCTTCACTTTTTTTTTCCTCGGTGCATGCGCGGGGGTGACTCGGCTCAGCAGGTGTGAGCCACGCAGCTAAGGCGAGGCGTGAAACGAAAGCGGAAGGCGGCTTGCACCATCCATCGGGGCCGCGTCAAGGAGGCGGGCCATGCCTGGTGCACTTGCGTGGGGGAGCGGTGGGGAGATCCACTCAACCCCGACGTGCTGTGGCGCACACAGCCTTTTGGAGGGCGATGCTGAGAAAGCCCCACCACCGCCGCTGCCAACCCTGTGCCGCTGCCTGCCGGAGAGGCGGCGGCGCGCGGGGGCTGCGGACAGCGACCAGCAGGCGCACAAGCTGCAGGCATTCCGAATGCCACCGCCCACCGACCTCCGCGCCAAGTACCAAAAGGCGCTGGGGGCCCCCGCCAAGCAGCTCTGGATAGCGGCGGTGTTTGCGCGCTCGGGCGGCAAGCAGGGCTGCTCCATCATGGGTTGCAGCTTGGCGGGTGGGCTGGCCACTTCGGTTGAGCGGGGAAACTAGCGTAACATCGCACGCCAACGCTTCCCCACGCGGGGTTGCGCCATGGATCAGAAGGTCAAGCCGCCGACGGTCGTCCACTGCGGTCGCCAGGTTGGTGTGAGCGAGCCAAGGCTGTGGGACCACCCGGCCCTCAGAGCCGACTGCCTCATGGGCAACACGGATCCATGCGTGTTCTAGCACGTGGGCCCGGCGTGCGAGGAGACCGCTGCGTGGGCATGCGAGCGCGTGATCGCCCAGTGGATCCAGCGCGCCGCCGCACCCATGGCGGCCGGCACCCTGTCCGCAACGCTGGGCCGCGGGCGGCAAAGGCAGGCGTAAGCGGCGCCGTAGGGCAATGTGCATGAGGTTGGGCGTTAAGGTGGCGCCTTCCTCGCTTGGGATGGCTGTGAGTGAGGCCCAGCTTGGGATCTGAGCAGCGCTTGGCCAGCGGGCGGGAGGCGGGGCAAAACTTCGCGCGCTCGGAAAGAAGTGTGCACAACGAGCGACGCGAGGTGTTGCCAGCCATGCGCGGGGAAGCCAGGCTCTCGTTCCCGAAGGTTAGGAACTTCCAACGCATTGGCCGCGAGGGCAGCCCAACCCGGGCGCGACTGCCAGCCAAACCGGTCGAGTTCGGATGCTGAAGCGGCCGCTTCACGGAAGCATGCCCCAGCCGATTCCGGGCCGAGGGTAAGTTCGGCGGCGCAGCGAGCAGCAAGGATCGGCTGGCGCAGGCTGGAGTGGCCGAGGCCCGCGGCATGGCAGGCGTTGGCGCCGGATCGAGCGGCCGGGACGGTATTGGCGCGTCGGCGTCAGAGTCGAGGAACGGGTTGACCGCCAACGCTGCGCAGGCATCCACAAGTTCAGGGTCAGTGCCAGCGGGCCAGGGCGCACGGCAGAGGGAACAGCACGGCATTGCGAGCCGTGCGCGCGTGCGTGCGAGGCACGGAAAGTGATAGGGATGCTGGCACCCCGGCCAAAAAGCGATCCTGCGACGGGTTGAGTCGCTGGAGTGAATTGGGTCCAAGCAAGTTGGGCAAATGGGTGGATCGCTGGTAACCGGGGCCGGCAATGGGCAAGTTGGCGCGTCCGATGGTGGGCCGGGGTGAGCTGCCTCCCCGACGCGGCGGCCGCGGAGAGGCCAACCTGACCATCGGGTGCGTGGGAAGCGCCACCGGCAACGGCGCAGCAAGTGGCGGCCGAAGTGCCGTCGCCACCGCCTGGTGGTAAGGAAGCGGAGTGCGGTGGACCGTACTGGTGGGAAGCGGTACCACGGAGCAGGCGACGGCAACAGGAACGGCGCCAAGGAAAAGAGGACAGTGGCTCTACGTTGGCGCTTGCGCCACCGCCCCCGGCATGTGTGCAAAGGGCTGCGCTGGTAGCATGGGCGCGTGGAGCCGCAAGAGCGGCGCCAATGGGAGGGGCGCCAACCCCATTGTGCATTGAGCTGCTGGGTCAGCAAGCGGCGCGCGTGGCGGCCGAGGAATGGCAGGGATGCGCCGCGGCCCGGGAGCGAAACGCTCAGGCGCGGCGGGTTGAGAAGGCAAGGCCGGGAGTGCCAACAAGCAGGGGCTGCCAGCGACGCCGCGAAGCAGAGGAGACGAAAGGCGCAGGGGCGCCGGAGAAGCACAGAAGCGGCTGCCATGTTCAAAGAGGCGCCGGCTCCTCTTCTGCGGCGCCCGGAGGGGCGCGCGCAGGGACCATGCTTCCGGGGGGAAATGCGGGAGTAAAGGCCCCCCCTTGAGCCAAAATGGCTTGAGCCAAAATGGCATCTACTTCTGCACAACACTGTGAGGTCGTTGCAATTTGCAAGTCCACGTTCCATCAGACGAACCATGACGAACCATAAATAATTATATAACGCGCCCTCACCAGTTGATCCGCCAGACTGAAAGTTTCGCCACCTAGCACCAGCAGAAGGGCCCATGACAGAGCAGGAAAGCCACACCTGCATTCCCAATCGCAGCATGAAAATGTTCAAACAACATACCGCCGGTTCACAAAAACAATAACATGAAATGCGATTGAACAAATCACCATTGACAACGCAACAAATCTGCATAATTTAATTCTATTTAGTTCCCGCACGCTGTTGATGCAGGACGCTCCGAATGGCCATGCCGCCTTCCCTCCCCACCTTGTCATGGTCACCGCATCCGCACAACGCAAAACGCGTCGCACAGTGCGAACTTCAATAAGCGGGCTTCGAACCAAAAACAAGGTCAAAAACAACATCAGTTTGGATGGTAAACGGTATGTGACCCTTGTCGCATTTTTGAAAGGATCATGGTGATGATCATAGTGGTGGTGATGGTGATGGTGATGCTGATGGTGATGGTGATGATGATGATGATGATGCTGATGATGATGATGATGATGACGATGACGATGACGATGACGATGATGATGATGATGATGATGATGATGATGCTGATGCTGATGCTGATGCTGATGATGATGATGATGATGATGAAGGGGAGGAGGAGGAGGAGAAGGAGGAGGCATCCCGCTGGCATTCCGCAGGTTCCCATCAGGTCGAGATGACTTTCAGATGCTGCCATGCCATGCCATGCCATGCCATGCCAAGCCCCACCTTTTTCTAGCTCAGCCATTGGCCAGCTCAGCAACAAACCAACCAAAAAATTCGCGAATCTCACGGGGAGATGCGCATGATCCAACTTCTAAAACCCAAGATCAGAATGGTTCTTCGGAGGCATTGCTCAAAGAATCTCAAAACTGCGGCACTTGTGATCGTGACCGTTAGGTGAAATCAGCCTGCGAAACTGCAAGTGTTGAAATTGCATCGAATTTTAGGAGCGTGCTCTGGCTCATGGGAATGAAGTCGTTCAAAAAAAATGTTGCTGCAAGCTCTGAACTGGCCACACCGCGTTCCATCCAACATGTCTCGTTACTACATTCCGCCATGAGCCTAGAGGGCCTAGACATCTTTACCTAAGCAGCCCCCTCGTCATGGTGCTTCATGGTGCTTCATGGTGCTTCAGCGCGGCTGTGGCAACAACAGTTCGCGGAACCTGAGCCATCCGTGACGTGGGAGTTTCCACATGATTCCACCCGTGCAGTTGGCAAAATGGGAGATTCCACGGGATTCCATGACCGAACAAAACCATAAAAAACCTCAGCATCAGAAGGTAATACTGTACTTAGTACTTTTTGTTAGCATTTTCAGAATGTGTATATGCGTTCAGGATCTGACATGCATAGTATTGCACTATTTCCACCATTAGAGGCTGCATTCCCCAAGCTAAGCTTGAAGCATAGCTACATGTTTCGAACTGCTTGGATGATGACATCTCACTTCACTTATATTTCTTTGGATTCTATTGAAATCAGCTTGTCCAACAGGTTTGAACCTTTTGCACGAAACAAGTTGTCATCATTTGCATCTCAATTTCAGAAACATTTCACATGCTTCACCACCCAGAGCTGTCAAGTCACTGTCAATATCAACGGCTTGAATGGAAAATCACCATCCCGGATGGCTAGGTCCTAACCAACCACCATGGCCATGGCAGCCATGGCACAAGGCGGCCAACTGATCAACCAGTCGCGTCCGCACCGCGTTGTTCACCACGTCGAAGCCGATGGTGTTGAGGATAATTTGTTTGATCAAATCCTCTCAGATGCAGATGGTGGTATGCTATGATGGCTGTATGGTCTATGATAGTGGGTATGTAATGGATATATAAAGGACAATGGATGTAGCAATGGTACTTGCCCATTGTACATTGTATTGGTATTGGGTGTACCCTCCTGGCAAGAGGGCCACCATCTCAAACAATGGTGCAAACGGCTGTCCGAACTTGGAATGGACGATTTTTACGGGATATGTTGGTTGGTAGGAGGGTATATATTATATACCAAAGGATGTAGAAAACCTCTCTCTCCATTGCTATTAGGTAAACCTGTCCTAACCAGGCTAGGAAGCGAACTTGACCCGCACAATGAAAACGTTTGGCAGGAATAATGGATGGAACAAGGGATAATGGATACATGATTAGAAAATCCGTATATATATATATAATTATATATATATATGTATGTACCAATTCAGGTGTAGCAATGGGGTATCTGATGAATCTGATGGGTATTAATCAGTAAATTTCGTACATGATGGATACAGATGGAATGGATGATGCGTGTAGAGCATGATGGTATATGGCAATTACCGCATGCGCGGCAGAATGATAGAGGGTATATGCTAAAATCTGAATACAGCTATATTACTATATTACTAAATCAATGTGTACCATGGGTCAGCGTCCTGCGTATCAAAATCAAATGAGCAGAACGAAGAAGCAAATCCCAAGTGGCAATGCGAGTGCGATGAGTAGGTCATGAAGGGTATCTAACGTTTTACGGATACCGTGTGGCATAGTGTCTTGTCCATCACTTCCTGGTCACTTCTGACCTTGGGCGCTGGAAGCTTGAGGCTTAGGCAAGTCTCCTCGCCTCATCCACCGTCGAAGAAGCCTTTGCATCCCGCACGTTCAAAGCCTCCACGGCCTCCATGAGAACGCGGATCCTGGCCATGGTGGGCCATGGTGGGACCCATGGATTTAGAAACCACCTTGTGTGAACGTGAACGGCATGTGAACGGAGAGAACTGAGAAGAAATTACCAGCAGCCAGTGGAAGGCAGAAACCATACTTCAAATTGAGAAGCCAAACTCCGAGTTTCATGGGCCACTTCCGTCAGAATTGTTTTTTCTGTAGCCTGATACAAAACACTGTCAAAATTCTACCAGCGTTGGCCCCAAACAGATGTAGAAATGTTCAATTATATTGTACATGCGAACCTAGGAACCCAGAGTGGGAGACAAGTGTGGGAGACAAGCGTGGGATGTGTGGGAGACAAGTGGGAGACAAGTGTAAACTCAGCCCAAAGAACCCAGAGTGGGAGACAAGTGTGGGAAACAAGAGTGGGACACAAGTGTGGGAGACAAGTGTAAACTCATGCGCTCCCAGACATCCAGAGTGGGAGATACGTGTGGGAGACAAGTGGGAGACAAGTGTAAACTCATGCGGCCCAAGGCACCCAGAGTGGGAGACAAGTGTGGGAGACAAGTGGAAGACAAGTGTAAACTCATGCAGCCCAAGGCACCCAGAGTGGGAGAAAAGTGCGGAAGACAGGTGTGGGAGACAAGTGGGAGACAAGTGTAAAATCATGCGGCCCAAGACACCCAGAGTGAAAGACAAGTGTGGGAGACAAGTGGAAGACAAGTGTAAACTCATGCGGCCCAAGGCACCCAAGTGTGAGGGACAAGTGGGAGACAAGTGTAAGATCATGCGGCCCAAGGCACCCAGAGTGAAAGACAAGTGCGGGAGACAAGGAGGATACAAGTGTAAACTCATGCGGCCCAAGGCACCCAGAGTGGGAGACAAGTGTGGGAGACAAGGGGGAGACAAGTGTAAACTCATGCGGCCCAAGGAACCCAGAGTGGGAGACAAGTGTGGGAGACAAGTGTGGAAGACAAGTGTGGGAGACAAGTGTAAACTCATGCGCTCCAAGACATCCAGAGTGGGAGACACGTGTGGGAAGCAAGTGGGAGACAAGTGTAAAATCATGCGGCCCAAGACACCCAGAGTGAGACACAAGTGTGGGAGACAAGTGGAAGACAAGTGTAAACTTTAGCGGCCCAAGGCACCCAGAGTGGGAGACAAGTGTGGGAGACAAGTGTGAGAGACAAGTGTTGGAGACAAGTGGGAGACAAGTGTGAAAATCATGCGGCCCAAGGCACCCAGAGTGAAAGACAAGTGTGGGAGGCAAGTGGAAGACAAGTGTAAACTCATGCGGCCCAAGGCACCCAAGTGTGAGGGACAAGTGGGAGACAAGTGTAAAATCATGCAGCCCAAGGCACCCAGAGTGGGAGACAAGTGTGGGAGACAAGTGGGAGACAAGTGTAAACTCATGCGGCCCAAGGCACCCAGAGTGGGAGACAAGTGTGGGAGACAAGGGGGAGACAAGTGTAAACTCATGCGGCCCAAGAAACCCAGAGTGGCAGACAAGTGTGGGAGACAAGTGTGGGAGACAAGTGTGGAAGACAAGTGTGGGAGACAAGTGTGGGAGACAAGTGGGAGACAAGTGTAAACTCATGCGCTCCCAGACACCCAGAGTGGGAGACACGTGTGGGAAACAAGTGGGAGACAAGTGTAAAATAATGCGGCCCAAGACACCCGGAGTGGGAGACAAGTGTGGGAGACAAGTGGAAGACAAGTGTAAACTCATGCGGCCCAAGACACCCAGAGTGGGAGACAAGTGTGGGAGACAAGTGTGGGAGACAAGTGTAAACTCATGCGGCCCAAGACACACAGAGTGAAAGACAAGTGTGGGAGACAAGTGGAAGACAAGTGTAAAATCATGCGGCCCAAGGCACCCAAGTGTGAAAGACAAGTGGGAGACAAGTGTAAAATCATGCGGCCCAAGGCACCCAGAGTGAAAGACAAGTGTGGGAGACAAGTGGAAGACAAGAGTAAAATCATGCGGCCCAAGGCACCCAAGTGTGAGGGACAAGTGGGAGACAAGTGGCCCAAGGCACCCAGAGTGGGAGACAAGTGTGGAAGACAAGTGTGGGAGACAAGTGTAGACTCATGCACCCCAAAGAACCCAGAGTGGGAGACAAGTGTGGGGGACAAGTGGGAGACAAGTGTAAACTCATGCGGCCCAAGGCAACCAGAGTGGGAGACAAGTGTGGGAGACAAGTGGGAATCAAGTGGGAGACAAGTGCAAACTCATGCGGCCCAATGCACCCAGAGTGGGAGACAAGTGTGGGAGACAAGTGTGGGAGACAAGTGTGGGAGACAAGTGTAAAATCATGCGGCCCAAGACACCCCGAGTGAAAGACAAGTGTGGGAGACAAGTGGGAGACAAGTGTAAACTCATGCGGCCCAAGGCACCCAGAGTGGGAGACAAGTGTGGGAGACAAATGGAAGACAAGTGTAAACTCATGCGGCCCAAGGCACCCAGAGTGCGAGACAAGTGTGGGAAACAAGTGTGGGAGACAAGTGGGAGACAAGTGTAAACTCATGCGGCCCAAGATACCCAGAGTGGGAGACAAGTGTGGAAGACAAGTGTAGGAGACAAGTGTAAACTCATGCGGCCCAAGGCACCCAGAGTGGGAGACAAGTGCGGGAGACAAGTGGGAGACAAGTGTAACATGCGGCCCAAGGCACCCAGAGTCGGAGACAAGTGTGGGAGACAAGTGGAAGACGAGTGTAAACTCATGCGGCCCAAGGCACCCAAGTATGAGGGACAAGTTGGAGACAAGTGTAAAATCATTCGGCCCAAGGCACCCAGAGTGGGAGACAAGTGCGGAAGACAAGTGGGAGACAAGTGTAAACTTATGCGGCCCAAGGCACCTTGAGTGGGAGACAAGTGTGGGAGACAAATGGAAGACAAGTGTAAACTCATGCGGCCCAAGGCACCCAGAGTGCGAGACAAGTGTGGGAGACAAGTGGGAGACAAGTGTAAACTCATGCGGCCCAAGGCAACCAGAGTGGGAGACAAGTGTGGGAGACAAGTGTGGGAGACAAGTGTGGGAGACAAGTGTGGGAGACAAGTGTAAAATCATGCGGCCCAAGACACCCAGAGTGAAAGACAAGTGTGGGAGACAAGTGGAAGACAAGTGTAAACTCATGCGGCGCAAGGCACCCAAGTGTGAGGGACAAGTGGGAGACAAGTGTAAAATCATGCGGCCCAAGACACCCAGAGTGGGAGACAAGAGTGGAAGACAAGTGTAGGAGACAAGTGTAAACTCATGCGGCACAAGGCACTCAGAGTGGGAGACAAGTGTGGGAGACAAGTGGGAGACAAGTGTAAACTCATGCGGCCCAAGGCACCCAGAGTGGGAGACAAGTGTGGGAGAGAAGTGGAAGACAAGTGTAAACTCATGCGGCCCAAGGCACCCAGAGTGGGAGACAAGTGTGGGAGATAAGTGTAGGAGACAAGTGTGGGAGACAAGTGTAAACTCATGCCCAAGGCAACCAGAGTGGGAGACAAGTGTGGAAGACAAGTGTGGGAGACAAGTGTAAACTCATGCGGCCCAAGGCACCCAGAGTGGGAGACAAGTGGGAGACAAGTGTAAACTCATGCGGCCCAAGGCACCCAGAGTGGGAGACAAGTGTGGGAGACAAGTGTGGGAGACAAATGGAAGACAAGTGTAGACTCATGCGGCCCAAGGCACCCAGAGTGCGAGACAAGTGTGGGAGACAAGTGTAGGAGACAAGTGTAAACTCATGCGGCCCAAGACACCCAGAGTGGGAGACAAGTGTGGAAGACAAGTGTAGGAGACAAGTGTAAACTCATGCGGCCCAAGGCACCCAGAGTGGGAGACAAGTGCGGGAGACAAGTGGGAGACAAGTGTAAACTCATGCGGCCCAAGGCACCCAGAGTGGGAGACAAGTGTGAGAGACAAGTGGAAGACAAGAGTAAAATCATGCGGCCCAAGGCACCCAGAGTGGGAGACAAGTGTGGGAGACAAATGGAAGACAAGTGTAAACTCATGCGGCCCAAGGCACCCAGAGTGCGAGACAAGTGTGAAAGACAAGTGTGGGAGACGAGTGTGGGAGACAAGTGTAAACTGTAAACTCATGCGGCCCAAGGCACCCAGAGTGGCAGACAAGTGTGAAGGACAAGTGGAAGACAGGTGTAAACTCATGCGGCCCAAGGCACCCAGAGTGGGATGCAAGCCCGGAGACAGAGGCAAAATCATGCGGCCCAGGGATGCAACCCTTTGAAAGGAGTAAGAACCCCATACAGGTAAACCTGTTTGGGGAATGAAAGACAAATGGGAGAACAGTGAAGGAAATCATGCGACCAACCGGACCCAGAGTGGGAGACAAGTGGAAACAAATGAAAGAACCATGGAAGACAAGTGAAGGAAATCATGCGACCAACACGACCCAGAGTGGGAGCCAAGTGGGAGACAAATGGGAGACAAGTGAAGGAAATCATGCGACCAACCAGACCCAGAGTGGGAGACAAGTGGGAGACAAATGAAAGACAAATGGGAGACAAGTGAGGGAAATCATGCGACCAACCAGACCCAGAGTGGAAGACAAGCGGGAGACAAATGAAAGACAAATGGGAGACAAGTGAAGGAAATCATGCGACCAACCGGACCCAGAGTGGGAGACAAGTGGAAGACAAATGAAAGACAAATGGGAGACAAGTGAAGGAAATCATGCGACCAACCGGACCCAGAGTGGGAGACAAGTGGGAGACAAATGAAAGACAAAGGGGAGACAAGTGAGGGAAATCATGCGACCAACCGGCCCCAGAGTGGGAGACAAGTGGAAGACAAATGAAAGACAAATGGGAGACAAGTGAAGGAAATCATGCGACCGACCGGACCCAGAGTGGGAGACAAGTGGAAACAAATGAAAGACCAATGGAAGACAAGTGAAGGAAATCATGCGACCAACCGGACCCAGAGTGGGAGACAAGTGGAAGACAAATGAAAGACAAAACAGTGTGGAAATGATTGTTGCAGTTCATCGCAACAATCAAAACAACCAGCTAAAAGTATATGCAACATCTCCTCCAAGAAAAAAACTTCTGGATGAGTGGCCCCACACTGATGGCTAAAGGCCAACATCAGAAGCAAAACAACTGCACATAGGCCGCAGAAAAAGAAACTGTGCAACAGCCAGCTAGCAACAGAGGCGGACCAAAGCAGCTGTGGGCAGAGATGGCACAAGAAAGGAAAACAACTACACCCACGCTGGTCCGACACTCAACATGCAAAAGCGCAGAGGGCGCAGACGTGAGCAGAACTCCTCGGGAGAATCCACAGGAAAAACGTCCAAAATATAAAGAAACGACCGGAAGGACCTATGCGTCAGCCAACTCACTGCGACGCCTCAAAGCCGCCCGGGCCCGGAAGGATCTGACCACCACACAAAGCTCCTGCAGCATAGAGTTGTGCACATGATCCGCCAGATCACCAGTGCGAGCCGCCACCGCAGTGGCTATATGGCGCAGCACCCGGGCCGCGCCAACATCCCAATGTCCAGTGGTTTCGACGACCATGGGAACGAAGGAGGCCCCTTGCGAGGCACAAGCCTGCGCAGTGTGTAGATGGGCCTCCTTCTGTCGGGCATACGCCTCCGCGGCAGCCCCTGCCCTGCTGCTGGCCAAAGCAAGAGTGTCCTGCCGCTGGTGCGCCGTAATGGCGAAATCAAGTGCAGCAGGGCCTCCAGCTAACGCTGGCAGAAAGACATCGGCTGGACGGCGACGAGCCGACTGGGTGTCATCAGGGGACTGGGGTATAGCAGAAGCCCGGGACGCTCCTTTTCGGGTCTCAAGCCAGCTTTCTCAGCCCAAGCATGGACCACATCTCAGACAGCGTAGTGCCGCTGTGCTCGTTCTCCACCAGCGACACAAACACCAGCGTGATGGGAGAGACGGTCAAGAATGCCATCGCAACGGGGGCACCAGGCATCGGTGGGAGCATCAGGAACACCCAGGCGCACACGAAGCTCAGCCACAAAAGTTGCCTTTTCCATGCGGGTAGGGCCCGATGGCACGGCAGCTAGGAAAGCCCTGGCCCCCAAACCGGTTTCGGACCAAAGGGAGGCCCGCTCAGCGGGGCTAGCGCCGGCAAGCTGCTTTTCCCAGCAAGCAGCATCCAAACGAGCGGACAGGGCATGTTGGTTGAAAGCAAGAGCTTTTTCCAAACAGAGCTGGCTGCCACCGTCCAACTGAGAGTTCAGATTGCGCAAAGCATCAAGGGCCCCAGGCGCAGTGAGCACCTCCACAGGCGAGAACCCACTGTCGAGTTCAGCACAAGCACTCAGGCTAGAACGCAGAGACGCCAGATATGCGGCTGGGGCATGTTGCACAGTGGAGCGCAAACCTAAGCCAGCGTGAGCAAGGCTGCGCCCAGCTTGTTGCCACTGTGACGCTGTCAAATGCAAACCAGTCGGCCCACCAAAGCAAGTCCGCACCATCTGATCAAAAGTAGCCAAAGCATGTTGCTGAACCCCAGGAGGGTTACAGCGCATGCTGTGCACCAGACGTACGAAGCCGGCACAGCTCCGCAGCAGCCGCAAGCCAACCTGACTGTCTTCCAAGGAAGCCAGCGCTTCCAGTAGCCGATTGGCTTGCTCGGCTCGGCGAGCGGTGTGGGCGTCACTGAAGGCCGCATCGCCGATCGGTGCACCAAGGAATTCAAAGTTGTGGAGAACTCTGGGCGAACCATCAGGGTGACGCAACAAAGCAGCAGGAAAATGCGGTCCAAGGTCTGCAGGACAAAGGCCACCAACTGCAACTGCCTCACACTTAGCCAAGTTGAGCACCAAGCCCATGCTGGAGGCTTGCTGCTGGACGTGGGCTAGCGCCGCCGCAACAGCGCCCAAGTCTCCAGCCAACACCCCATCGTCTAAGTAGTGGATGGCCAGGTCCAGGCCCTGGGCCCGCAATGTGCGGGCCAATGGGTGGATGGCTGCAGCAAATAGCAAGGGCCCGAGAGAGTCGCCTTGCTGTACTCCAGTCTGGGACTCCAAAGTGAAAGAACCAAACCGCAAGCTGCTGGGCATTTGGTAACACCAGGTGGCAAAACGGGCCAGACCAGGAAACTTGGTAGCGACTTCACGAAGGGCAACCTGACGGCTCACACAATTGAAGGCATTGGCAAAGTCAAGTTTCACCAGAACCTTCTGGGACGAGGAGCTGTTCCTCTGCATCCAGGCCCGGACTGTGTGCACAGCCTTCTCTGCACCCCCTTTGACGCCAACACCAACCTGCGAAGGCCAGAAATAGTGACGAGCCTCTTCCCGCACCGAAGCCATCAAACACTTTCCCACCAGGCGGCGTAGCAACTCACCGACGGCAATGGGACGCACACCTCCAGAAGGTTTGGGTAGAGCGACAAGGCCTGCCCCCGCCAGTACTGGCGCAATGGTGGTCGGGGCTTGCGACACCAAGCTGACCACAGCAGCAAGCTGTGTCAAGAGGGCGTCGGTGCCACCGGCCACACAAGCGTCCCGCAAGTGTTGGACGCGAAGTCCAGTGGGCCCCGGGGCCGTTTCGGCAGGGAAAGCACGCAAACAACGGGCCACCAACTCAGGCACAATCTCGGGCGCCAAAGGAAGGTCTTGCAAAGGAGTGACAGCTGGCGGCAAGCTCCGGGGGTGCAAGGCTTCCAGGCTCTTGGCAGTCTCAGGGTTGAAGGGGCACAAGCCTTCAGATTGCAGGGCAGTACATGCCTTCTTGTCGAACCCTTCTCGGCCCAAACTGGTGGCCAGGTCTCGCCGTTCCTCTGGGGACAACGGCCCAGGGTGGTTGCGAGGGGGCTGGCGACGGGTCTCCCACAGACTCACGCGCTCCCCATCAAGCCACCTCTGCAGACGGTCAAGGGTATAGGCCGCTGCAGCCCGGCGGTGTTTTCGCCCGCCACGAGGCGGGGCGCACAACACCGTCTGAGGCAACATCAGAAACTCCGTCCAAGAGCGCTCATCATTGCGGTGGGCAACCGTGGCCAGAGCCCGGGTCAAAGCTTGCTGCCAGGTATGCCGGGCAAGGGCCGGCACATGCCGCAAGGTCGGCGTCTGCCCGGCTTGGATGGCTGCAAGCGTTGGCAAAGCAGCCCCGCCCCCAGCATCAGGAGGGTGGGGGCCCACTGCGGCCGCTCGAGCTTCGGGGCGGCAAGTCGGATGGACCCCGTGTCTATCGGACACGCTAAGCCCGCAGACGAAGCACCGGGTGCGGCCATGCTGCTGGAGCCAAGTGGATGGGACTTCACCGGCCAAAGAACCGGAGAGATGGGCATCTATGTGGGCCCGCATAGTGGTCTGGTTTGCCTACCCATTGGCCTTTCGTAGGGTCAGAGGCCGGACACCCCGGCACAGGGCAAAAGGCCCGTCGAGCTGCCCGGCTAGAGGAGGCAGCCCATCACCATCCACCAGCATCGCAGAAGGCCCTCCAGCATCTGCGGCCGGCCCACGCCGGGGCGACCGCGGAGCCCGCTCACCCCCAAGCGGGGTGCCAAGCAATGGGAGACAAGTGAAGGAAATCATGCGACCAACCGGACCCAGAGTGGGAGACAAATGAAAGACAAATGGGAGGAAAGTGAAGGAAATCATGCGACCAACCAGACCCAGAGTGGGAGACAAGTGGGAGACAAATGAAAGACAAATGGGAGACAAGTGAGGGAAATCATGCGACCAACCAGACCCAGAGTGGAAGACAAGCGGGAGACAAATGAAAGACAAATGGGAGACAAGTGAAGGAAGTCATGCGACCAACCGGACCCAGAGTGGGAGACAAGTGGAAGACAAATGAAAGACAAATGGGAGACAAGTGAAGGAAATCATGCGACCAACCGGACCCAGAGTGGGAGACAAGTGGAAACAAATGAAAGACCAATGGAAGACAAGTGTAGGAAATCATGCGACCAACCAGGCCCAGAGTGGGAGACAAGTGGGAGACAAATGAAAGACAAATGGGAGACAAGTGAAGGAAATCATGCGACCAACCGGAAAGTGAACTAGACAGAGTGGTCTGAAAGACAAATGAAAGACAAATGGGAGACAAGTCGAGGGGGCCAACCAGACCCAGAGTGGAAGACAAGCGGGAGACAAATGAAAGACAAATGGGAGACAAGTGAAGGAAATCATGCGACCAACACGACCCAGAGTGGGAGCCAAGTGGGAGACAAATGAAAGACAAATGGGAGACAAGTGAAGGAAATCATGCGACCAACCGGACCCAGAGTGGGAGACAAATGAAAGACAAAGGGGAGACAAGTGAGGGAAATCATGCGACCAACCGGCCCCAGAGTGGGAGACAAGTGGGAGACAAATGAAAGACAAAGAGGAGACAAGTGAGGGAAATCATGCGACCGACCGGACCCAGAGTGGGAGACAAGTGGGAGACAAATGAACGACAAACGGGAGACAAGGAAGGGAAATCATGCGACCAACCAGACCCAGAGTGGGAGACAAGTGGGAGACAAATGAACGACAAACGGGAGACAAGGAAGGGAAATCATGCGACCAACCAGACCCAAAGTGGGAGACAAGTGGGAGACAAATGAAAGACAAAGGGGAGACAAGTGACAGAAATCATGCGACCAACCAGACCCAGAGTGGAAGACAAGCGGGAGACAAATGAAAGACAAATGGGAGACAAGTGAAGGAAGTCATGCGACCAACCAGGCCCAGATTGGGAGACAAGTGGAAACAAATGAAAGACCAATGGAAGACAAGTGAGGGAAATCATGCGACCAACACCACCCAGAGTGGGAGCCAAGTGGGAGACAAATGAAAGACAAATGGGAGACAAGTGAAGGAAATCATGCGACCAACCAGACCCAGAGTGGGAGACAAGTGGGAGACAAATGAAAGACAAGTGTAGGAAATCATGCGACCAACCGGACCCAACACTCTGAGGACGCAAGCCCGGAGACACAGTTAAAATCATACGACCAAGGCAAGCAACCCTTGCTAAGGAGTAAGAACCCCATACAGGTAAACCTGTTTGGGGAAAAATCCTTCCAGTTCACGGTGCGCTTCTTTCAAGAACAAGTCGCCCGCGGTCTGTCACGGTGTCACGGAAGAAGGTTTCGGCCGTTGCAGGAAGGATGATCGACATCGGTATGTCCCTCGGAATGCAGACCTCGGCTACGTAGAAATGAACCAAATGAACCAACAGCTTGGGATTCAAGAAGAGGGATCTCTGCATTGGTCAACCTGCTTGTGCTATTGCCAAGAGGTTTTTTTGCCGCACCCGTAAGTCTTGTCACCCAACGGGGTGAGTCACGTGGCTGTATTTTCGAAGATGCACCAAGCCCGGGTCACATAGGTCGGATTGGATTGGATTGGAGGAGGACGTCAACCTGCTCCTCACCGAAGTGAAGTAGTTAAGACGCCGAAATTGCCATCGCTGAGCCGGAGCTCTTTGCACTGAACAAGCCGGAGGGCAAGTTTAGTCAAGAAAAGTACCACCCATGCAGCTGAAGAAGCAGCAAATGCTCATTCAAACGACCTGTTTTGACGTGGTTCGTGTTCAAGCAAAACTTGCCAGTAGGGAAGAGAACCCTTTAGTTGCGCCTTCCAAGCTTCTCCAGCCCAAACAACTGCCTCTCTGTGTTGTGACAAACAAGTAGCAATCACCTGCCGAAATTGACCTGTTAGATCAGCCGCGCTAGCATCCGCTTTGGCATTGAGCATGCGGCAACGCAAAACATCAAGCCACCCTTCGGGTGGACGCCATCGAGGAACTTTATCATGCGAGGGAATCCAAGCACAAGAAGAACCATCAACCAAAAGCATCCTGATATAATGCCAGTATGGAAAAAGATCTCCACCCCACTGACCAAGCCGCATGCCACGATGAAGACGTTGCACAAGAGCTTGGTTGTCAATCAGCAAGCGCACCGCTCTGTTCGCTTCATGGGAAGCCAAGCAGGCTTGAAGAAGTGCACCTCTCTCGCCCGCAGCAGGAGTTTGCTCGAAACCATGCACCAACCCATTGACCGTGGGCCCAAGATGTGCCGCCACAGCCCAGCTGGCACGCTGCCAAAGTTCGCACCCTGGAGCGATTGCGCAACTTCCATCCAAGCCCAAAGTCGGCGTTTGATGTGGGTCAAACTGTTGTAGAAAAGGCACCAGAATGGGGTCGGCCGTCATATCTTCAAATGGAAGAACAGCTGGAGCATCCACAAGAGGAACAAGCAACCGCCTTTCAGTTGGAGTTTTGAGATCACCATGCCAAGGATTTGCCTCGCAGTAGAAAGTGAAATGCTCACGATCAGGAGAGCTCAAACCACAATCACACTGCAAGTCGACTTCCAAACGTTGAGTAACTCTCCCATCCACTGCTGCACCTGTCAAGACTCTGCGACCACAATAGTTCAAATCATGCGCCACATTGGCCTGGAATTGGAACACAGGCAACTTACCTTCAGGTAAAGGACCCTCCGTTTTAGTGTCCTTCGTCCACATAAAAGCCAGCCATGCTGCAGCAGCAGCTTTGTATAAGCTTGAAGAAGACATCCACCCTGGTTTCAAAGTCCCACGGGAGTGATCCACAAACCACCCTCAACACGCCAATTCCAGTCTTTGCAAACAGTATTCCACCTTGGGCCTGGCGAAACAGCGGCGGGCACACCTATGGCCAAGCGGCACTGGCGCTGCCATTCAGCCCGGGCTGCAGCAAAGTGAAGCGCAAAAGCAGGATGCAAACGCGGTGTGCCCAAAGAGTTCCAGAACAGCAATCTACTGCGACCTGGGGCAGGCTTGCGCCCCCAGACCGCCGCTTCAATACTGGAGGTCCAACTCTTGATGGTATCAACATCATAGTGGTGAAAAGCTCCTGTCCATGCAAACAAAGAGATCACCAACTGTCCCAGCAAGGTCTTGCGGGTGCCCAAACGTTTCGCTGCCAACCTGATTTTGCGACACCTCTCCTGAATGTCAAAGGAAAGCTTCTCTGCATTAACACAAGCACCTGCACGCTCCAAATTGTACTGAGTACCCAGAAGCGTGAACTTGCTGCAAGGAGCCCCCAACACGTCCTGTATCTGTGACAGCTGAGGCGTCAAATGTTGCTTGGTTGTGAAACTATTTAACTTGTCAGGATGGAGTTCCATGCCCAGAATTGCATCAACCTGCGCACCTGCCTGCATGGCGTTGGTGACCACGTGAATGCCGTTGACACCTTTCTTCCACATTGTGCGGTCATCCAAATAAACTGCAAGAGAAACACGAGGCTCTTGCAAAAGAACGAAGCGCACCCAGACTACCATCACCGCATTGAGTAAGGCTGGGCTTGCCGGGCAGCCCTGCAGCAGCCCCCGCCGAGCACAAATGGGCTCTGAATGGAAAATGCCTTGCCAGGCAAACCACCTACGTTGGTCAGTGTAAAAATTTTCCACCATGTCACACAAACTGGCCGGAGCACCCAACCAGCGCCAAATAGCAAGTGCAGTCTTTGGACAAACCGAATCGAAACACCTACGGATATCGGCCTTGCAGCCAACAAAATCAACTCTTGAACGTTTGGCAGCACGAATGTCTTCGTAGAGCAATTCATGAACATCCATAATGCCTCTTCCTGGACGGCCGCCACAAAGCTGAGGCAAGGCCCATTCTTGTATCCATGGTCGGAGCTTTTGCAAAGTTGCACTCATGCAGATGCGCCACAGGACCGTCGTGATGGCAAGTGGGCGCAGGCCCCCGGCCGCCTTTGGAATCAAGGCTATGCGAATATCTTTCCACATTGTAGGAACTTTCGCACACTGCATGCACGCCGACCACAAGACTGCAACGTGATTCCAAAAGGACTCCGGCAACTTGCACAAATGAGCCGCAGTCCAAGCATCCATACCAGCCGCTTTTTGTTTAGCTTTCAACGCAGAACGCGCCAAATCAGCCCCAACCACTTGAATGCTTTCAGGCGTGACTGGGTCGACCTGATTGTTGAGCTGCAAACACAAATTTGAAACCTGGTCTAATGTGGGAGGTGGTCCGGATTCCAATGCGTGTGCCACGCAGCTGCCTCCTGTCTTGCCTTATCTTCAGGCAAAATAGGACCATCGACCTGTGTTGCTGTAGGTGGATCAGGTGGTTTTTGCTGAACCCACTTCCCCAGTTTCGCAACATTTTCTTGAATGTCCTCTTTCCAAGCAGCAAGGCGTCGCTGAGACGCCTTTTTGGCCACCTCATCTGCAAGAAGCAAAGCGGCGGGAGCCAAACCACCATCAGATAAAGAAAACGCAGTAAGAGACGAGTGCAAAAGCGGAGCATCGCGCAACAGCTTGGTTTGCAATTGCGGCGAAGGAGCCTTTTGATATTCGACCACCCGTCGTGCAAATCTTCTCAGCTTTCGCTCCTCCAAAGTCTGCAACGTAGGAGCTTTGGTTGATGGGGGGCTCGCCATTTTGTGCGGGCCGTCCCTTGATGCCCTACTGGGCTTGCCTTGTGCAAGCAGCAAAGATTCAGCACAGTTGCTCAGGACCACCCAAGCTTGATCCACATTTCCGACGGCCAGAGCATCGGTGAAATCTTGTTGTGATTCTGCCCAAGCAACATTCCAGTTCTCAACCTCCACATTGCAAAGCAAGAGTGGCGCGCTTGCCGGCAATCTCCAAGGCGTGGGTAAGCTACCATGCACATGTATATCGTAAATGACAGCATCATGGTCAGCAACACCTAAAGACTGCATTCTTCCGGAAACAACAACTCTGGGAGTTGAAAGCGCGTAGTCAATGACCACCCCTGTGTGTATTCACCATCTGAGTTGCGATGGGTGCCAGGGCCAATCTGGTCACCGCAGACTTGTTCATCGCAAGAATACCATTGCCCCGACGCCAGCGCGGTGGAGGCCGGCCAAACATGCCTTTCCCTGTTGAAATCGCCCACAATGATTGCTTCTTCGCCCAGCATAGCAACGTATTCAAAAATGGAAGCCAAGGCGTGGCCAGCAGCTGTTTGATCGTTGGCATGTAGGTACACATTGATCAGAAGAAGCGGTCGCTGGTGAGGTCGAAAAAGCTTCAGCGCCATGGCACGGTCAGCCGGTGCAAACTGACTTGGAATGGCCAACGCTTCAGCAGGCCAC